TGAGATGCTCAGGGTGAGGGGGAGCAGAGGGGGAGGGGGTAGAGGGGGAGGGGGAGGGGACTAGGGGTTTTAGGGTGTTGAGGTTACAGGGGGCTTGTCTGCAGGGCCACTCCGGTCACCGGTTGGTCCTCGCAATACACAACTCACTCGCTCACTCACGGCTCACCCACTCGCTCACTCACTCGCTCACTCACGGCTCACTCACTCGCTCACTCACTCAATCACTCACTCAATCACTCAATCACTCGCTCGCTCACTCACTCGCTCGCTCGCTCACTCACTCGCTCGCTCGCTCACTCACTCGCTCGCTCGCTCACTCACTCATTCACTCACTCAATCACTCACTCGCTCACTCGCTCACTCAATCACTCAATCAATCACTCACTCGCTCGCTCACTCGCTCACTCAATTACTCACTCGCTCGCTCGCCCGCTCACTGACTCGCTCGCTCACTCAACCAATCACTCAACCAATCAATCAATCAATCACTCGCTCACTCACTCACTCACTCGCTCGCGCACTCACTCACTCACTCACTCACTCAATCGCTCGCTCACTCAATCAATCAATCACTCGCTCGCTCACTCAATCGCTCGCTCGCTCGCTCGCTCGCTCACTCACACACGCACTCACGCACTCACTCACCCAATCAATCAATCGCTCGCTCACTCACTCACTCGCTCGCTCGCTCACTCATTCACTCACTCACTCGCTCGCTCACTCAATCACTCGATCACTCGATCACTCGATCACTCAATCACTCACTCGCTCACTCGCTCACTCGCTCACTCAATTACTCACTCGCTCGCTCGCCCGCTCACTGACTCGCTCGCTCACTCAACCAATCACTCAACCAATCAATCAATCAATCACTCGCTCACTCACTCACTCACTCGCTCGCGCACTCACTCACTCACTCACTCACTCAATCGCTCGCTCACTCAATCAATCAATCACTCGCTCGCTCGCTCACTCACTCACTCACTCACTCTCGCTCACTCACACACGCACTCACGCACTCACTCACCCAATCAATCAATCACTCAATCACTCAATCACCCAATCAATCAATCACTCGCTCGCTCGCTCACTCAATCACTCGCTCGCTCGCTCACTCAATCACTCGCTCGCTCACTCACTCACTCATTCGCTCACTCACTCACTCACTCACTCACTCTTCTCGCTCATGTGCGCTCTCCCACTGCGACCCCCCTCCCCCCTCCTCGCGGGACTCAGGCAGCGCCGGAGACCTACTCGTCAAAGTTTGACCCTAACGAACAAAAGCGAAGATCCGCAAAGTCAAGGTTGCAGGTCTGTCTGTCTGTATGTGTGTGTAGCGCAGTAAGGTGTTGGGTGACCATCCAAGTATGTGGGCGACACGAGGAAAGGGGGGAGGTATCGTGTTGGAAGAGTTAGTTAAGTGTTAGTTGGGGGAACGTGGGGATCGAGGGGGGGAGGCGGCAACGCAGTCAACTCGTACGGCGTTACAATCTCCCCAACCCCCC